CAAATGAGGAGACCACAGGCCATCTTGAGGAGGACTTTATGTTCAAGCGCAGAAAGCGCTTGGATTTAAACCCAAGGGACTCAGCCTTCTGTGGCCCTGGTCAGAGTTAGAATTTGGGCCTAGGAAGGACAAGATCACTTGGAGCAGCTGGGACCCGTGCATGCAAGGCAAGGCCATCCTGGCTCAAAGACCAACCAGCCACCTCTGCAAGGTTGCACCTGGAGCAGTTGCACCAGCCACCAACCTCACCCACTCAAGGAAGTAGGGATAGCCAGGTCCCAACAGTCGGACTGGCTGCCACCTGATGGCTGACAGAGCAGAGGCTTGAGGAAAAGTAGGTGGCACTGAGGCCTTACCTCTAGGGTAGAAGAAATGAGGTACACTGACCATCAGTGAGTGAGGTTGGTGGCTGGTCCACCGGCTCCTGGCACACCCTTGCAGAGTTGGCTGGTTGCAAGCCAGCTTGGCCTTGCCTGGCATGCACAAGCCTCAGTGCAACAACTGTCTTACAACTGGAGGTCCTATAGAGGAAATGAGCAGCAGGCTCAGGAGCAGGTGTGTTCTGCCTTTAGGGCTCCAGTCAGTTCCTCAGGGCTCAGATGGCACTGCGGGCTTCTTCATTGTGAAGAGGTAGACCACATGACGTCTTGAGGAGGACTTTTAATTCAAGTGCAGAAAGCAGCCAGGATTTCCACCCAGGGGCCTAGGCCTTCTGTGGCCCTGGCCAGACTTAGAATTTAGCCCCAGGCAGGACAAGCTTACACAGAGCAGTGTCAGTTTCTGGGGGCCTGTGCATGCCAGGCAAGTCCAGGCTGGCGCAAAGAGCAACCAGTCACTTCTGCAAGGGTGCGCCTGGAGCAGGTGGTTCAGCCACCAACTTCACCCTCTCAAGAAAGCAGGGATGGCCAGGTTCCGACAGCCTGAGTGACTGCCGCCTGATGGCTGATGGAGCAGAGCGCTCAGGAAAAGCAGTTGGCACTGTCGCCCTACGTTTAGGATAGAAGAAAGGATTTACCATGTCTGGCAGCGAGTGAGGATGGTGGCTGGTCCACCTTCTCCTGGCACACTCTTGCAGAGGTGGTTGGTTGCTCTTTGAGTCAGCTTGGCCTTGCCTGGCATGCACAAGCCTCAGTGCAACAATTGTCTTACAAAGGAAGCCATATAGAGGAAAGGAGCAGCAAGCTCTGGGCAGGGGTGTGCGCTGCATTTAAGACTCCAGTCAATTCCTCAGGGCTCAGATGGCACTGCGGGCTTCTTCGTTGCCAAGAGTCAGACACAGGGCATCTTCAGGAGGACTTTATGTTCAAGTGCAGAAAGCAGCCAGGATTGCAATCCAGGGGACTAGGCATTCCGTGGCCCTGGCCAGACTTAGAATTTGACCCCAGGCAGGACAAGCTGACTCAGAGCAGCACATCGGTACCTGTGGTCTGTGCATGCCAGGCAAGGCCAAGCTGGCTCAAAGAGCAACCAGCCACCTCTGCAAAGGTGCGCCTGGAGCAGGTGCTGATGGAGTAGATGCCTGAGGACTCTGCCTTCTGTGGCCCTGGGCAGATTTAAAAGTTGGCCCCAGGCAGCACAAGATCACTCGGAGCAGCTGGGGCATGTGCATGAAAGGCAAGGCCATCCTGGCTCAAAGAGCAACCAGCCACCTCTGCAAGGGTGTGCCAGGAGCAGTTGCACCAGCCGCCAACCCCACCCACTCAGGGAAGTAGGGATGGCCAGGTCCCAAAAGCCGGACTTGTTGCCACTTGATGGCTGACGGAGTAAAGGCCTGAGGAAAAGCAGATGGCACTGAGGCCTTACCTCTAGGGTAGAAGAAATGAGGTACACGAGCAGCAGTGAGTGAGGTTGGTGGCTCGTCCACCTGCTCCTGGCACACCCTTGCAGAGGTGGTTGGTTGCTCTTTGAGCCAGCTTGGCCTTGCCTGGCATGCACAAGCCTCAGTGCAACAATTGTCTTACAAATGGAGCCATATTGAGGAAAAGAGCAGCAGGCTCAGGAGCAGGGTATGAGCTGCCTTTAGGGCTCCAGTCAATTCCTCAGTGCTCAGATGGCACTGCGGGCTTCTTTTTTGCCAAGAGGCAGACCACAGGCCGTCTTGAGGAGGACTTTATTATATTGAAGTGCAGAAAGCAGAAAGAATTTCCACCCAGGGGCCTAGGTCTTCTGTAGCCCTGACCAGACTTAGAGTTTGGCCTCAGGCAGGATAAGCTCACCTGGAGCAGGTGGAGCAGCTGCCAACCTCACCCACTCAAGGAAGCAGGGATGGCCAGTTTCCAACAGACAGAGTGGCTGTCACCTGATGGCTGATGGAGCAGAAGCCTGAGGAAAAGCAGATGGCACTGGGGCCCTACCTCTATGGTAGAACTGATGTACCATGAGCAGCAGTGAGTGAGGTTTGTGGCTGGTCCACAGGCTCCTCGCACACCCTTGCAGAGGTGGCTGGTTGCTCTTTGAGCCAGCTTGGCCTTGCGTGGCATGCAGAAGCCTCAGTGCAACAATTGTATTACAAATGGAGCCGTATAGTGGTGAGGAGTAGGAGGCTCAGGAGCAGGGTGTGTGCTGCCTTTAGGGCTCCAGTCAATTCCTCAGGGCTCAGATGGCACTGCGGGCTTCTTGGTTGCAAGTAGGGAGACCACATGACATCTTGAGGAGGACTTTATGTTCAAGTGCAGAAAGCAGCCAGGATTTAAACCCAAGGGACTCAGTTTTCTGTGGCTCTGGCCAGACTTAGAATTTGGCCCCAGGCAGGACAAGCTCTCTCAGAGCAGCACTTTGGTACCTGCAGTCTGTGCATGCCAGGCAAGGCCAAGCTGGCTCAAAGGGACACCAGCCATCTCTGCAAGGGTGCACCCGGAACAGGTGGAGCAGCCATCAACCTCACCCACTCAAGGAAGCAGGGATGGCTGGATTCCAACAGCCTGAGTGACTGCCTGCTGATGGCTGATGGAGCAGAGACCTGAGGAAAAGCAGATGGCACTGAGGCCTTACCCCTGGGGTAGAAGAAATGATGTACCCTGACTGGCAGTGAGATTGGTGGCTGGTCCATTGGCTCCTGGCACACCCTTGCAGAATTGGCTGGTTGCTCTTTGAGCCAGCTTGGTCTTGCCTGGCATGCACATACCTCAGTGCAACAATTGTGTTACAAATGGGGCCATATAGAGGAAAGGAGCAGCAGGCTCAGGAGCAGGGTGTGCACTGCCTTTAGGGCTCTAGTCAATTCCCCAGGTTCCCACAGCCTGAGTGCCTGCCACCTGATGGCTGCTGGAGCAGAGGCCTGAGGAAAGCAGATGGCACTGAGGCCCTACCTCTAGGATAGAAGAAATGATGTATCCTGAACGGCAGCAAGTGAGGTTGGTGTGCTGGTCCCCCGGCTCCTGGCACACCCTTGCAGATTTGGCTCATTGCTCTTTGATCCAGCTTGGCCTTGCCAGGTATGCATAAGCCTCAGTACAACAATTGTGCTGCAAATGGAGCCAGACAGAGGAAATGAGCAGCAGGCTCAGTGGCAGGGTGTGTGCTTGCTTTAGGGCTCCAGTCCATGCCTCAGGGCTTGTATGGCACTGCAGGCTTCTTGGTTGCCTCCACAAGCCATCTTGAGGAGGACTTTATGTTTTAAAATGCAATTCAAATTAGCATAAAACATTTACAGCCTAGGAAAAGGCTTATGGCATTAGAATCCTTGTTTATATGATTATTTTGTGTTTTTTTGAGATATGGTCTTTGTCTCTCATCCAGGCAGAAGTGTAGTAATTTTGTCGTAATTCACCACCGCCATGAACTCTGAGTCCAATCCATCCTTTTGCCTTGGTCTCCCAACTAGTTGGAGCTGCAAGCATAAGGCACCATGCCTGGCTAGTTTTTTAAATGTGGTTTTGTTGTTGTTGTTGTTGAGAGTATGGTATCATTGTGTTGCTCTGGCTGGTCTCAAATTCCTGGCCTAATGTGATCTTTCTGCCACAGCCTCCTAAAGTGCTGGAATTACAGGCATGAGCCACCATGCCTAGCATAGAGTATTACATTATTTTCAAAGTCTTTTTCTAAGATCTATTTATTGACTTTGGCCTAAATAACTCAATATAATATCTCAGAAACTTTTTTTTGACAAATTTTGGGGCATGATGATGAGAGAAGGGGGTTTGAAACTTTCTAATAAGAGTTAACTTGGAGCCATTTAAGGAGGAACAAACACAAATTATCAGAAAAATAAAAGAAAGATCAAGTGCAGAAGTTCTGTGGCAAAGATGATAGTAAAGAATATATGATTGTGACTCATGGTGGCTTTTACTTTGTTCTTGAATTTCTGAGTAACTTAAGGGTTAACATTTAAAGAATGTGTGTTATAGATAACATTTTATTGCAAGTAAATATATTTCAAATTTTGTTACTGGTTTTGTATGAGATTATTCTCAGCCTCCTTCATTATCAAGCTGTATTATTTTATTAATGTAGTTTGATGATATTACAACAGAGCTGGGAGCTGTATCTTCAAAATATGTCTATTTGACTAAATAAAATCAAGTTATTCAATGGGAGTTATTATCTATGAAAAAAGTACAACAGGAATGTAAAAAATTTGAGGAGAATAAAAATATGTTGGAAGAAGAAATATTAAATCTTAAGATGCTTATGGAAAGAACACACTGGTGAAGACAAATTGGTGATGTACAAAATTATAAGTTGGATCTAGAAGAAAGCGCAATGCAGGCAATAGAAAAATGAGTAGAAATCCCTTTACAGGTTAGTTTGTAAAATCAGGTAAGTTTATTTATAATGTGCTTCTATTTATTTCACTGCAAATTATATTTTGGAGATATATATATATTTCCTCTGCCTCTCTAATAGCAATTTGCCTTGTAGAATTCTAGCAATAAGGTGGCATCTGTTTTTACTTTCAAATATTTAAATTTCCATCATTATAACAAAATTGATTTTTCAGAGTAATGATTCTCACTATGGAGTCATTTGATTAATAAGACCCATTGGCATAAGATTACATCTTCTGACTGCAAAAATCCTGGAAGAAAAACTAGGAAATATTCTTCTGGACATTGCACTTCGCAATGAATTTGTGGGTAAGTACTCAAAAGCAATTGCCAGAAAAATGAAAACTGACAAGTGGGATTTATTTAAACTAAATAGCTTCTTCTGCACAGCATGAGAAACTATCAAGGGATTGAACAGACAGCCTACAGAATGGAAGAAAATATCCACACACTATGCACTTGTAATCCCAGCTACTCGGGGGGCTGAGGCAGGAGAATCATTGGAATCTGGGAGGCGGAGGTTGTAGTGAGCTGAGATCACGCCATTGCACTCCAGGTCGAGACTGCGTCTCAAAAATAAATAAATAAATAAATAAATAAATAAATAAAATAAAAACAAATAAATAAAAGCTAGAAGTTCTATGAAAACATTAACGCACATATAATCTTTTAAAAATGTTTACTGTTTCTCTAGAGATTTCAATACCTATTCTAGCTTATTACAGTAACCTACAGTTTATATTATATCAACTATGGTATAAAAACCTTAAATTGTATATTTCTGTTTCCTCCCTCCTTTACACTATTTATGTCATGCATTATAGTCTCAAATATTATGAATTCCATGATGTGAAGTTACTCTTTTAAAAAAAAAAATTTAGACAATCCATGATCTTCAGAGCAATGTAAAATAATTGGGCTACATATCTTTATATCTTCCCTGGCACTCTTTATTTCTTTGAGTAGTTTCAACATTCATCTGCTTCCATATTCCTTTTGCCTCAAGAAATCGTTTTGAGGTTTATTTTAGTGCAGACCTGTTAGCAAGGGACTCTTCCAGTGTTAATCTGAAAATGTCTTCATTTAATTGTTATTTTAGTTATATAGTTAATGGATATAAGATTGGGGACTGATTTTTTTTTTAGTTATTTAAAAATTTTGTATCATTGGTTTGTGACTTGTAGAGTTGCTGACAAGCAGTTCGCTGTAATGTTTGTTTTTGTTTATCTCTGTACACAATGTTCCTATTTTTCTGTGACTGAATTCAAGATTTATGCTAATCGTTGGTTTTCATCAGTTAGACTAGTGTGATTATTCTAGCGTTCTTTAAATTTTTTATTAATCTTTCTTGGAGCTATTTGAGGTTGCTTGGGGTCCTCAGTCATCTTTTTCAAATTTTTCTTCTCTCACACTCTGTTTTTAATCTCCTTCTGGAATTCCAATTAATTGTATTTTAGTTAATTTCGTATTGGCAGAGAATTCTTGGACTCACCGGAGTATTTTATTTGCTTGGTTCATTGGTTTATTTTGTTTTCCTCTTTCTTCCCTTTGTGCTGCCATTCAAATAATTTGTGTTGGCCTAATATAAAATTTGCTGCTTCTTTCTTAACTCTGATGACCAGTCTGCTAATCAGCTTGCTGATGTAATTCTTCATCTCTGTTCTCAAGCTTTCACTTATTTCTAGCTTTTGCCTTTTACTGTTCCCATCTCTGCTGAAATTCCTCATTTTTCCATGCATGTCTTTTTTTTAACTAGATCCTTTAACATTTTGATCATTATTATTTTAAATTACTTGCATTTAGTTCCAACATCTGAATTATCTCTGAATTTGATTCTGTTGACTTTTTATCTTTTGAAAATATTATAACTCATAACTCAAATTTCTAACTTGCTTTTATGTGTCTCCCAATTTCTAAAAAATGTAAATCATCACATGTACAAAAACAGTAGCTCGTGAGATAATTACTTATGTCAAGATTGTTTTATGTTTCTGTTTCATTTTGGTTTGTGTCCTGCTATTAGTGTGGGCAGGAACAAAGGCTGGTTTTTGCTGTGTTGTCTGAAACATTCAGTGAACCATGTAACTTCAATTTCTCCAGCAGTAGGCTGCCATACCTTGTGCCTTGTGTGGGGCCTTAGGCTCTGCAGGGCATATGCCAATGCTCCTGTTCCACAGTTACCTTCCAGTAGTCCTTACCACCTATGTCACAGAGAGGGTCTCTCTCCACTTTCTTGTTCCTCTCTAACTGTAGAACATCATTTCTTGTGTGTGTGTGACTACGCAGAAAATTGAGGTTGGGAGCAGAGGGATGATTCATGTTATTTTGGAGCCAGTTTCATCATCGGAGTCTCAGAGAAGGGATATTTTTAGCACTTCGCGACTCTTATTCCAGTAGGAGTCAAACTGTCCCTTATCTGTGTTGGTTTTTGAGGAAGAAATAGTATCTTGCCTCCTCCCACCTCAGTGGTAGAAAACCTTTGATTTATATCATTGAAAGTTTTCAAACCCACAATAAGGGCTAACTCTTTTCTTTCTCCTTCCATAGGAACAATGCACCTTTGTCTGTGGTCACTGGATGGAGATTTTCCAACCCTTTACCACAGTAGCACGACTCTGCATTAGTGCAAAATCCTGGGCCCCAAAACAATCCTTGTTCCTCTCCTGATGGAGAAGTATTTTTCCTCCATCCGTGCCCTAGAAGCAGTGATCCTTTGCCTGGTCTCAGGTGGGGTGGAGTAGGGTGTGAGAGGTTTCTTAACCTTCTCTGAAAGCTGATGTGATTTGCTTCTTCTTATCTCCCAGAAACAGTAGACTTTTGCATGGCTTGTGGACCTAGATGCTTTTAAGCCACAGCAAATTAAGCGTTTTGATTCTTAGGAGAGAAGCAAATGTTCATGTAGTCAATTTTTTTCTTATTTATTTTTTGCTTTGTTTTCTTACTTCAGTCATGATGAGTTGAATATGATCATGATTTTCCAGTTAAGCCGCTTGCATTTCTAAAATTTTATTAGTCCCCCTTTGGTCTTTCAGCACTAAATCAAATGCAGATAATCATCACTTGTGTGAATAAAGTGTTTTTATTGAGAACAGAATTGTTCATATACACACGAATGTGGATATTATCTACTTAGCACAATATGTCATTGTTTCAAAATGTAAAATCTGCTTTAGGCTGAACAAAGAATGGTTCTTGAAACTATTTTCCCTTTGTGATCAATTCAAAAAACCCAGTGCTTTCTATCTCATGGGTAGATTATTAAAATAATTACATACCTGATCTTCATTTTATGTTCTCTCTCTTCGAGATATTTCCTTCAAAACTACTTTGACTGATTAGTCTCTTTTGGATTACGTTATACTCTGTATTTTCTTCACAAGCTCATCAGGGTAAATCCTGTCTTTACATTTGTTATAAAAATTCTCTCTCTTTTTTTTTTTTTTCAAATCTTATTTGAGCTGAAAGCTCTCCACCAAATGTCTCCTATGCCACAAAGCCTTATTTTACTGATCTCTCCTGTCCTCCTTGCTCAAGCTCATTTAGGAATTTTTTTTATGAAAATATTCAAGGAATACTTTAAAAAAAAAAGTATGAACATATAGTATTTGCAATTTGAACACAAAATACTGCTCTACTTGAAAACAAGTTTTAGAAACAATTAAATGTTTCTAGAAGGAGAATCAACAGTGTCATAAATATCATAATCCAATTTTCCTGTTTGTACTAAAACACACAGTAGCAAATATTTACTGAGAAATTACTATCTGCCTTAAAGTATAATGCTTTTGATACACGTTATAAAAACTAGGTACTATTATTAGCAGTATTTTAAGAGTAAAAATATCGAGTCTTAGAGATGTTAAGCAATGTGCACAAATAGCATAGGGAAAGTTGGAGTTCTGAAATTCTGACTATGCTGTATGTATGATAGGAGAATCAATTCTTGTCAAATGTAACTGTCAAGTCATTGTGCAGATTCGGAGGTCTCTGATTGCTAGGGTCAGTACACTTAAATCATGTCCCAACTTAGTTAAATCTATTTCATTAAAGCAAAATTCCATGTATAATTTCACAAAGATTATTGGCACCAAAAACATTATTTTTCCTTCCTTCCTTTCTCCTTCCTTCCTTCTTTCCTTCTTTCCTTCCTTCCTTCCCTCCTTCCTTCCTACTTTCTTGCTTTCTTTCTCTTGTTCTTTTGTTCTCTTTCTCTTTCTTTCTTTGAGATAGGGTCTCAGTCTGTTGCCCAAGCTGGAGTGCAGTGACACAATCATGGTGCACTGCAGTCCCAGCTTCCCCAGGCTCACGTGATCCTCCCACCTCATCCTCCTAAGTATCTGGGACTACAGGAAAGCCACCACACCTGGCTTTTTTTTTTTCAAGACTGGGTTTCACTGTACTGCCAAACCTGGTCTGCAACTCCTCAGCTCAAACAATCCACCTGCCTTTGCCTCCTAAAGTATTGGGATTCCAGATGTAAGCCACATGCCTGGCAAATAATGTTATTCGATAAGTTCAATTTAACTATTAGATTTTGGACAATGAGAGATAGAATTTTCTATATCATAATTCATCTTGTGTTCTTATTTGAAGTAATATATAAGGATTTCAATTCCACTCAAATATATTTATTAGCAAATTAAATTTCTTTTTCAGGATTCCAAACTTTTGTTCAAGACATAAACGCTAAATGATGTCACTAATTTTAATTAGATTAACAGAAAGGTATTCTGGTGTTTAATAACAGAGACAGAATGGGCTATTGATTTTATTTTCTTTCTCTTTGTCTCTTTCCCCTTTTTAAAATATTTTACTTCTTAGGCTCTTTGGAATCTCAAAGATAGAGTTTTGAGAATTAAACAAAACACTCACAGAAACTGCCAATGCTAAGATGAAATATATTGTTACTATGCTTTGGGATTAAAATAAGGAACTACAGTTTACAGAACTTTTATACTGATACAGAGACACTAAAAAGGGAAAGGGTTTGGATGAGAAGTTCTGCTATGCAATCAAGAATCTCAGCCACTCATTTCCGTAGGAGCTGCAGGAGCTCCCTGTAAAGAGAGGTTAGGGAGAGTGTGGCTTCAGAGTTTCTCCATTTTTCCCAGAGGTTCCCCCAAAAGGTCATGACACTTTATAAGAATGCTTCACTTGTGAAAAACAAATATCAAAGGCTTCTGGGAAATTATATTTAAGGACAAATCTTCATTCCATGTTTAATTTATTTAGCATTTTATGTGTGCAAATGTGTAAAATATCATCACCTAAAGCTATATAACATGTTCTATTTCTATACTGTGATTGCAGGTTTATAATTCTGGAAAGATATACAGAACAAAAGATTTACATTTTTAATCACTTTAAGTGCACGGTTTTGTGGCATTAAGTATATTTGCACTGTTGTGCAACAGTCACCACCATAGACCTCCAAAACTTGTCTTCTTCTCCAACTAAAACTCTGTACTCATTGAACACCAACTTCCTATTCCTCTCCCTCCCCCTCCCCGTAGCAATCACCATTCTACTTTCTGTCTCTACAAATTTCACAAAGTATCTCACAGAAATGGCATGATATAGAATGTTTGAATTTCTCGAACTGGCTTATTTCACTTGGCATATCTTCAAGTTTCATCTATTTCATAGCATGTTCAGAATATATTTTAAGGCCGAATATTATGACGTTGCCGTATATACCACATTTTTTTAACTACTCATCCATCAATATTCACATGGGCTGCTCCTTCCCTTTGATTATTGTGGATAATATTGCTCATGGACACACTGCACAAACATCTGTTTGGTCCCTGTGCTCATTTATTTTGGATATGGATTTGCATTTTAATACAAAGGAGAAATTATGCAGCTTTTTAAAAGTGTCCAAATGAAAAGGAGCACAGCATCAGTGAAATATTAGAAAGTAGATTATTGGAAAAAGTAGGGAGAGAATTGAACCAAAATTTAATAAGCAGTGTAAGAGAGTTTCAAGAAGAGGGAAAAAATTGACAATATAAACAGAATTAAATAGTGAAAGGTCGATATTTAGAAAATTGTCACATGTACCCATATGTTGCCTGTGAGCTGATATTTACATTATTGTTTTATTCCAGGTTTCCAAAAGTAAGTGTAATGTGAGAGTTTCATGATGCTAAATAAACTGAAACGTGATACATATTTTGATGGATTGTCCTTGAGAGCAGGCTGGTGGTAATTAGTGCAATTTTAAATTATGATATGATAGTGGAGTCAATCTGCCAAACTGAAAAAAAAAGTATATATACAATGTGTATATGTTTCTCAAAACCCCGTTGTATCATACAATTAAATTATGATTTAAAGCTACCTGACAATTACTGGAGGAAAAAATGAAACATTTACATTAATATTGCCATAATTTTGATATTATTGCAAATATCAAAGCGTGTAGTACTTAGGGATAAACCTGCAAAACAGAGAAACGTTTGAAAACTACGAAACTACAAAATATTGTTAAAATAAATAAGAGACCTCAATCAATGGAATGTATGAGTCATAAATCTCAATACTGTTAAAATGTCTACTCTTCCCACATTGATCTATAAGAATTCCAATCAAATCACAGCTGTATTCCTTATTTTAGAAATTGAGAAACTAAAATTCTGAAATGTATGTCGATGGGTAGAGGACCTATAAAGGCAAATTACTTTGAAAGGAAACAATTACTTTGAAACCAGGTGCTGTTGGAGAATTAACAGCACCTGGTTTCAAGACTTATCAAGTTACAGTACTTAAGACAATGTGGTACAAATATAGATATACACATGTATATCAGCTTTCAGCTAGTTTTTAATAAAGTTCTTAGAGCATTCATGGACATAACATTTTCAACAAATGCTTCTGAAACAAGTAGATATCCCAGTGTGTGTGTGTGTGTGTGTGTGTGTGCGCGCGCGCGTGTGTGTAGCTCAGTACTTCACACCTGAGAGGGAGGAGGGTGCATTACCAAGGGGAACTGAGAAGCTTTGACAGTATTGGATATGCTCACTGACCCCTTCATGGTGATTGTTTAATGGGCACATGTATACATCAAATTCATCTCATTACGCTTTAAATATTGGTAGTGTATTTTATGTTCATTCGACATGAATAAAGCTGTAAATGTTATCAAAATATTCACTTACTATGCTTCTATTCATTTTACTCTCTCTCTCCAGAGACCTTCAGATAGAAAATGCAGTTCAAAGATATTTCATAAAGGAAGAAAAGAAGTATGAAGACAGGTGAGAGATAGTACTCACATTTTTTTTTTTCAGTGCAATCCTGGTCTTTTGTGACTAGCAATATTTTTATGTGCAGAAGTAGCAGAAAAGATAAATATTTTGTACAGTAGAGAAACGCATAATTTCTGTGCCATGGAAGAGATAACTCACAAAGATGACAGATTCTAACTATGTTGGATACTATCTAGTATTGTAACTAACCAACGATCTCACCTTAACATTGGCTGTAAAGCTACTTTAATGTTCCTTGCAATGATTTGAACCTTTTACTGGAAACTTCATTGCTTACTGAGTTGAATAACACTGTTGATACGTGTTTATCTTATATTAGCACTAGAGTCATAATTTTACTTCTTAGAAAATTAAAATTAAACAACACTTGAAATTATATATTTTTAATGTTTCAACTGTGATCTCACTCCACATGCATCTTTCAATTCTTATTTGATAAAGGATAGCAAATACAGAAAGAATTCTTGTGATAATAGAGAACACAGAACTGTTGAATGGTGTTGAAGCTGAGCTGGAGAGAGTCACCGAAGCTGGCGCGGAAGCTGGCAAGGTCGGAGAGTTTCCTGCCTGGGCACAGCTTGAGCTCACCCCTGCGCCACCGCCAGTGGCAGAAACTGCAGACCCAGCTGGGCCCTGAGGCCTCCGCCCCAGCCTCCCACCAGCCAGGAGCTGTGCTGAGGTCGCAGATAGGCGACCCTGGAGGGGTGCGCCTGAGGGAAGGCGGCCCATGTTCCGGACAGCAGCAGGACACCAGGATCCAGGGACCCACCTCCCGCCGCGGGAACCCCAAACCTTGCCTGGCGCCCTTTGCTTGCTCCGCCTGGCCTCCAGAGGCCGGTGTGTGTCCTGGTCATGAGGATGCACAGCAGGTGCCCGGGAGTCCCCCTCCGCCATGGCCTACCGCTCTGCCAGCCATCAGGCCTGGTTCACAGACCGCAGCGCAGCCTGGCTGCCTCTGATCCCGCCAGGCCGGGACCTGTCCTCCTCCTGGGCGACCAGCCGGGGGAATGCATGCTGCCCGGTGGCCTGCACAGCCCCTGACCGCCCATCCCCTCTGGCGCCTCCGGCCCAGGCCAGGACCTTCCTGTAGCACAGAACCCACCTTCCTTCCCGCCGCAGAGCTGCTCCGCTTCCGCCACCCACAGGGAAAAACTCAGATCTCCAACCACACAGAAATCCGCGTGTGACTCCTCTGGTTGGATACTGCCAGTCCCCACATTTACTTCCAGGAGTTTTCTTGGCAGAAGGTGTCCGGCATTTGATGTTTCACCAGCGATGAGGCTGAAAAGTGACAGCAATAGAGAAACACATCAGGCTTTCCGCAACAAAGATGACCTTCCCTTCTTCAAACCTCAGCAATCTCCAAGTTCCACAAAGGACTCAGGACAAGATGACTGAGCTGGAGTACTCGGCCCAGGAAATGCAGGCCCAGAGCGGGTCACCTCCTTAGGGCAGGCCCAGCCTTCTCCTGGCTGCCTGGGTGCCTTTCTCCTTACTCCCACCCAATGCAGGGGACCCCACAAACTCGGCTCTCCGGGCTCCCTGCACCTCCCTCCACAGGAGCCACCTCCTGCCCGCCAAGCTGGGGCCTTCTGGGGCATCCTGGGCTGAGAGGGCAAGGTGCCAGCTCTGCACGCTGGAGAAGGAACACCGCTACACTGTCACACTGACACACCGCCACACGAAGACACTACCACACGGGCACACCACCACATGGCCACATGGACAGACACACACATGGAGATGTCACCATACGGACACACAGACACACCACCACACTGTCACATGTACAGACACACGGAGACATTACGACACGGACACACTGCCACACTGTCACATGAATGGACAGACAGACATACGGAGAAGTCACCACACGGGCACAGCACCAGACTGTCATACGGACACAGACACACGGAGACATCACCATAAGGACACACGACCACACTACCACAGGGACACACAGACACACAGACACATCACCACACTGTCACAGGGACACACCATCACTCTCACACGAACACACAGACACACTGCCACATGGACACTGCCACACACACAGACACACCGCCACACTGTGACATGGACACACCTCCACACTGTCAGACACCACCACACAGACACTGCCACGTGGACACAAGGACACACAGACACATTGTCACCTGGATACACAAACCTGGGAAGCCACATCTGAAGGAACTGCCAGGTGACTAGGGCCATAAGTCAATCAAAGTAGACTTTCCCTGGCTTGCTTACAAGTCATTTAAACTGTGGTGGGATGGTATCTCATTGTAGTTTTAATTTGCACTTCTCTGATGATCAGTGACACTGAGCACCATTTCTTATACCTGTTTGCCATTTGTAGGTCTTTTTTTGAGAAATATCTATTCAAATCTTTTACCCCCTTTTTTAAACCAGGTTATTAAATTGTTTCTTAAAGAGTTGTTCGAGCTTTTTATATATTCTGATTATTAATCCCTTGTCGGAAGAGTAGTTTGCAAATATTTTCTCCCATTCTGTGGATTGTCTCTTAATTTTGTTGATTGTATCATTTTCTGGGCAGAAGCTTTTTAACTTAGTGTGATCCATTTGTCCATTTGTGTTTTGGTTGCTTGTGCTTGTGGGTATTGCTCAAAATATTTTTGCCCAGACCAATGTTCTGGAGATTTTCCTCAAACTTTTTTTGTACTAGTTTTATTGTTGGAGTTTTAATCAACTTTGATTTTACTTTCATGTATTATGAGAGATACTAGTCTGTTTTCATTCCTCTGCATATGGATATCCAGTTTTTTCAACACCATTTACCACCAGTGTATGTTCTTGGCACCTTTGTCAAAAATGAGTCCACTGTAGCTATGTAGATTTGTTACTGCGTTCTCTATTCTGTTCCATTGATCTATGGCTCTGTTTTTATGCCAGTACCATATTCTTTTGGTTACTATAATTCTGTAGTATGATATGAAGTCAGATAATAGAATTCCTCCAGCTTTATTTATTTATTTATTTATTCATTTATTTTTGCTTAGGATAGTGTTATTTCTTATACTGAAAGCATTGTTATTTATTATTAGTCTACTTTTATAGTTTTACAATGCTATCCTCTTTTACATAGCTATGATCAACTCAAGGTGTCCAGATCAGGGTTAATTGTAGCTATTTGAAAAAGTAGCAATATTCTGGCTGGGCATGGTGGCTTATGCCTGTAATCCCAGCTGTTTGGGAGGCCAAGGTGGGCAGATCACCTGAGGTCACGGGTTCAAGACCAGCCTGGCCAATGTGGTGAAACGCTGTCTCTGATAAAAACACAAAAATTAGTTGAGGATGATGGCAGATGCCTGTAATCCCAGCTGCTCAGGAGGCTGAGGCAGGAAAATTGCTTGAACCCGGGAGGTGGAGGTTGCAGTGAGCCCAGAATGTGCCACTGCATTCCAGCCTGGGTAACCAAGCGAGACTTCATCAAAAAACAAACAAACAAAGGAGCAATATTCTGTGTAATTGCTGACAGCTTAATTCACTATTATGTGGATCAGAGAGCAGAGGATTCTGAATGCATGAACATATCTTTAACATTTCAATACATTACTCATAATTACTAATGAACTAAAGAGAAACCGAGAAATTATGGTGATAGTTATATTGACCTGGAGAAATGTAGACATAAAAGAACAGTAAGATGAGAAATGTGTTCACATGGTCTATAAGAGCACACAAGAATAAAAATGGGGAAGAAAACATGAGAGTTTTCAACAGATTTCTGGTCATGTAAGTCAATTTGTATCAGTTAATTTTTAAAAGGTTTATTTACATGCAATAAACTGCACATACTTCAATTGTACCTTTTGATTATTCTTGGTATTTGTAGCTCTATAAAACCAACAACATATTCAAATAAAAAGCATATCCATTACCTTTACCACCAAAGTTTTCTTGTGTTTTTTCTACTTACTTTCTCTTGCCTATCCCCATCCCATCCACAGGCAACCACTGATCCACCTGTAGTCCCTGTGAGGTTTTATTTCCAAATACATGAAATCATAGGGTGGGTATACTTTTTCATCACTCAGCATCACCATTTTGGAGATTTATTCATGTTGCTACATCTATCAATTGTTCTGTTCTTACTAGGGAGTATTATTTCATTATATACATATACCACAGTAAATTTTTCAGTCACAAATTCACCTGTCCGTGGACATTTGGACTGTTTTCAGGTTTTGGCTATTGCAAGTAAAGCTGCTATGAAGATTCATGTAAAATCCATTGAATGGGCATATGCGTTAGGTTTTCATCTCCACTGGAAATGGAATAGATAGATATATGGCTATCATGTCTGTAACATGAAAACACAAAGCCTGACAAAACCCATTTCTAAAGTGGAAACTCCACCAGAGAAGCTTGACTCCAGCCTGGCTTTTGAGACTATCTCCTATGTCTGGTGCAATGACTGATCCTGGGGTAGCCACATGACCCAAGGAGGACCATGTTTAAACTTCTGAGTTTTCACCGAGATTAATATGCATTTGTTGAAAGAGAAGCCCCTTTGCCTCCTCTCCTAGCTGCAAATGCTTTCAGGGATCACATCATGCTGGAGCATGTGGTTACAGTGTTTCCTAAACTTTGCGGGGAAAAATTGTTCAAGTGGGCAAAAATGGAGTAAATACAAAGAGAAAAGCAGTCCAGAAGTATCAAATAAAAAAGAAACGGCCTCCATAAAATCATTTGAACTTATGATTAATTCAATAGTCATTAAAACCAGTTTAGTGTACAAAGAATCATCCCCTCCACCACCCTTTATTCCTTCACCAGGTTTAAGGTACATTTTTTAACTTGCAAACAAAAGTTTTGTCATTGACTCAGACATTAAAATCCCTTGTCTCCAAGAGCAATCATTCAATTCTGTCCCTCTCATTGTTAGAATAATATGTTCACTTTATTCTGCATACACCTCTCCTTTGCCCTTGTTT